CGCAACTGCGCATGACAAATTGTAATAAAATTGCTTTTAACACCACCTACTAGTGGCCTTTTTACCCTAAACTGATCATATTTTTTAAACTCTAAGTAAATTCGGTAAAAAAAAAACTCGGACTCGACCGTCTCTGGTCTCGGTCTAGACTCGGACTCGAGTGAGGTGGTCTCGACTACAACACTGATAGTCAACACTGGCACACATAACTCCTGTACACACTTTCATTCTTCACAGTCTCTCTTCATAAAGCAGCACAAGAGAGAAGACAAACTATCTCACTCATTAGAAAGCTCATTAGCTCCTCAAAACACTCGTTCCTCTTCTCCTGCGGCTCCAACTCTATTCATATTCAGAGGTAAACAGTGGAGCGAGAGTGTAAACATTACAGGTCGTAAAACGATCAAGATCTCCTGCAAACGTCCCGCGGCTGCGAGATTACCATCGCGCTGGGTCCCTCAGGTGGGTCTGGGCAGCACATCAGGAGTGAGCTCAGGGGTTGTTGGGTTCACACACACACACACAGGTTCAGGATGGTTCATGACACACAAACTGGAACTAATCCCTTTCTCTGGTTTAGAGCTGCTGGCATGGCTTTATCGTGCACTCCTGCGCAACATATTTACAGTTTTTCTTGATTGCTTAAACACATTTCTTGAAACTATGCCTCTTATTCTCAAAACAGCAAACACAAATGCATAACGCCTCACCCAGTTTACCAAAACAACCTATTTTCAGGTCAAAATGAGAAAAACCACTCACTCTCGCTGCTGAAAAACCAAACTTTGCCCTCAGACAGGACACACAAGCCCTCAAAATAACACACACTACAACATAGTCTAACACACTGCTGCAATAAAGTCAAAACAACATTTCCAAAACTGCTCAGTTATGTTACTTGTGCTTTCCCTCCTCACAAACCTTTTCACGTGATGAACAAAATATACAACCAGTGAATACATTTGGCACATGTACAACACAATACAACACACACACACACACGCACAAAAAAGGATTATTCTGCCTCAGCCTCCTGTCTAATGGTAAAATCCTCTTGCATGCCTGATCCACTCGTTTTCCTGTTTTTCTCCCTGAAAGTTCTGATGTTGGAGGCGACGGTGAACCGACTCAAATTAGGCTGTACTCTTTGTCCAGTCCAGCCTCCCTCATTGTCATATGGACAAGGACATGATCAACTAAAGTGGCTCTAGTTTCATCCGAGACTGCTTGTCTCCTCCTGCTCCACCACCAACTCTTCTACCAAGTCCGTCACCATGTCCTCCTCTTCCTCCTCGACCTCTTCCTTCATTTCTTTGTGGATCCATTGTTCCCAAACTCTGATGAACTGACTTTGGCACTTTTAGGCATCTTGAAAGTTCTGATTGATGTGTGTTAAATTGTGACTCATCTTGTGTGCTAATTGAGCTGAAGCTGACTTGAGTGAACAATATTGAATGCTAGTGCTTTCTAAATGACCACATGGTCTAGGCAATGAAATATTAAGGGATTTGTGTGTAGAGTTTTGCAGTGATTGTTTAACAATTCTGAATAGTGTTTATAGTTTAGGGAAATGGGTGTGTTTTTTGATAAATGGCATTATGGTTTTGAAATTTTAGTTCAAAAGCCTGGTTATAGTGATTAAGCAATTGAGAAAAACTGTAATATAAATAACTGCGAACATTCAAATTAATCACCAGCAGCACCAGTTTCCAATTTTTAATAAACTTTCAAGAAATGGCAATCACTCTTATTGTCACTCTAATTATATGGTATAGTCAATATGAACTAAATACAATAAGCATATGTAAATTTCCAGCATCATTACTCCAGTCTTCAGTGTCACATGATCCTTCAGAAAACACTCTAATGTGATGATTTGACATTTCGGATTATTATCAATGTTTTCATAATTCATGAATTTCAAAAGTTCGGTTTAAGGGTGACTTGTTTTTGTTTTAGATTTCAAAAAGGCAAGGATGTATTAAATTAATCAAAAGTGACAGTGAAGGCATTTATATGATTACAAAAGATTTTGATTTGAAATTTGACTTTTTAATCAAAGAATCCTGAAAAATGTATCATTTTAACCCTAAAACCGTATTCTGGACAAATGTGGGCAAAATACTTTTGATTTATTTTTAAAAATACTTCCCTTGATCTGAGCGGTACAAGACTTGGCTACTTTTTCTACAATGTTAAGTGGGTGAAAAAAATCTTGTATTTGGGTCAAAAATGGGCACTCATAGAAATGAATGGGAAAAACTGTAATTTAGAGCAGTCTAAAATAAGCCAAAATAACAGCAAAGTCACTTCATCTTTAGGTTTTAGCTCTAAGAACTTATTGGAATGATATTTTAATGTAGTTAAAAATTTAAAAAAAAATAAAACATAAAAATAAGCATAATTTACATAGAAAATATGATACTTTTTGAAGTAAATAAATTAAAAAATACCACCAAAATAAAAAAACAACACCATAAATGGATAGACAAAACTTTATCGAAGACAGTGATATAACATTTATAATAAATAAAAATTAGGATCACACCTGAGTCCTCTGTGCCCACAGAAATTATTTAAAAAAAGTAAAAACTGTTAACAGCAGGTATTTTAACAGATTATTAAAGGATCATGTGACAGTACAGACTTTTGAAGAGCTGAAGAGCTTTGATCACATGAATATTACAGCTTATTCACATAGAAAACAGTTATAATAATTAGTGATGCACCGATATGACAATTTTGGCCGACAACCGATAATTCTTTATATTTGAAAGCCGATAACCGATATATTGGCCGATAAATCTAAATCCAAATTTTTAGACAATTTTTGAGAGCCTGATTATAAAAAAAAAAGTCTCCTCATTAAAAGTCAAGATACAAACACAATTATGATGTTCTTATTTTAATATTGTGTAGCCGATATGACAGACTTGCGCTGCACGTTTTGCACTTTAACTGGATTTTCCTTTTTTAAAGTGAGCAATTTAAAAGCATCATGTTGAACAGTGCACATCTAAAGCGCCTCTGAAAGAAATAACACATTAGTTATCGGCTTTTAGACATCGGCTAAATGTCCTTGTTGGGCCGATAACGATATAAAAATGATCATTTATCGGCCGATACCGATAATGTGGCCGATATATCGTGCATCCCTAATAATAATATTGAACTTTTACAGTATTTTTGATCAAATAAATGCAGCCTTGGTGAGCAGAAGATACAATTAAAAATCTTAGGACCACTACTTCATTGAGTTTGTCATCATGTCCCTGCTGATGTGGAAGCAGGTGCCATTGGTGTGTGTGTGTGTGTGTGTGTGTGCAGGGCCGTGCAGAGACCTCTGGAGGGGCAGGTGCTCAAAGTATAAAATGGGGCACATGGAAACAAGGCTTTATAGGGCTGTGCTCAAAATATCAATACAGTAATATATCAATACAGATGATTCTGCATCGATACAGCAGCAAATGCATTGATGCAGTTTTGAAAAAGAAACAGAACAGAAAAGACAATTTTAAAGTTTAAAATTTAAAAAAAATAATTTATATATTTATATATAACTCTGGGATTAGAAACTGAAGCATCTTAAGTTGCCCCAACCTGATGGCTTTTTCTTCTCTGTTATACAGAATAATAAAGAACAGCTGTTATAGTGAACTGTATAGGACAAAATCAACCTGGCCCAAGTTTCGTGCAGTAGAGTATAGTTTTATTTAATGGCATATCAGCATCTGTGGCTATTTTCATGGCAAAAAGTGATTTACAAAAATACAAGAGTTACATTTTATACAATGAAAATAAAAACAAAGCAAACAGAAACAGCAATTAATACTTTACAAGATTTTTAACATTAATGTGATGCCTGTTCTGGTAAATTCTTACTCAAGTCATTAAGTGAGTTTGCTGCCTTTGCTGTTGATGTTGTTACTGCTGCTGCTGCTGATACTGCTGGAGTTGATCTGAGACTGTAGACATTAAAAATAAACAGAAATATAGGTTATTAGCTGATTAAACCATTTTTATGTGACCATGACAAGATGTAAAGATTGCTGACAGTGTTTGGAACTGGCTCACTAGTCCACTGACCTGCTAAAGCTACAGATTCTACCCAGGCTGCTATAGTATAATAATACAATAATAGTATATAATAGTAACGTTACTAGGGCAGATGTTCACAGAGCCTTCTGCACACAAATCATAAGATACTAACTGGTAAGCCTATGTGATAACTTACCAGAGTTGTGATAATATTTTTTATGTGAAAATAATTTTTTAAATAAATACTGTAATAATATTAATAGTTTAAAGTACAAATAATAGTTTTTAATCAAATAACACCCCTTCACGCCCGTGAAAGTTTTCTCCCTCAAACAGCAAGCTAACGTTACTTCTACAGCCTACACACAGCAATACAAACAAGATTTCTCTGCATGCTCTCTTCACGTCGTTCTAGTAAAATAATAATAATAAGTAAACAAACATCAAAATCACTTCGCTGAGAATAGAACACAACTTACCAGCAGCCGCAAGACTTGAAGATATCCTCTGGGAATGCGCGATTGCGCGTAGCCGCGCGAAATTAAAAAATGCGCGTGCAGCGTGAGGAATCAGGTGAAAGGTCATCATGTGGGTCATTTTATTTACAGCTAAATTATTATTCATTCATTTTACTACTAGTTAGATGGGGCAGGCATCCACAAAAGTGCCTTTAAATACAAAAAAAAGGAGAGGAAATTTTGTCTTGACAAAAGGGCACTTTGGGCACCAAGTGGCAAAAGGGCAGGTGCTCGAGCACCCAACGCCCCCCCCTCTGCACGTGCCTGTGTGTGTGTGTGAGTGGGCGTGTCCCTCAGCTTCAGGCGAATGCCACCGGACTCTCTTCTGAGGCTCGAAACACACCAGGTTTGATCCCATAATCCTCTCAGGATCAAGTGTGCCTGGAATCTCCTTTGACCTCACACTGCCAACACTTAGTGAAACAAACAGAAGACTCAACTCACCCACTTTAAACTGAGACGCCTGGTCCGTGACTTCCTGATGGTCTTGCAACAGCATCATGTGCAGAATACCGAATGAGTTCTGTATGCCGAAAATCGACCCGTTGCACCATGTGGCAGCAAACACCACGACCCAGCCGAACCCTCCCTCCGGGGGGACGAACCCCGGGCCCGGGTGTGTGGCGGGCGGCGTCGCTGGACGCTTGCTGGCGCCGGTCTGTATCAGCTGGACCGTGCTGTCCTCCGGGGAGAGCTTACGCTCCGGCTCCTCGTCCTCCTGCGGGTCTGTGAGCTCCATCACAGGGGGGGAGAGATGCTCCGTGTGTCCAGCCTGGGGTTCCTCCGAACCGGGTGTCGCACTGGCTGCTCCCGCGGGGGTTTCATTGTTTTCTGGGTGCATCCTACACGGAAATGGTTCCTGAATAACTCTTTTATCATAAGCTTCAGAACCGAACAGAAATAAATCCACTCAGGAGTTAGTCAGAGATCTGAAACTATACGTGAAGCCCAGTCAATCTCGTGTCACTTTGCATGGATGATCACTGCTAATCCGATCGATAATGCCCAAATCCTGTTACGAGAGATCACTCGTACAGAAGAACAAACGGAGCGCGCGCTTTAAACTGAGTCTAAAGCTCCGGGCTCTCGGTTCACATCCCTTTTATCGTGCACCGACTCCTCCTCTAGCATTTGTTGAATATTCACACCGGATCCCGGTGGGCTGCTCTGCACACTTTTACAGTTACAGTGTAGCAAACAATTAAACGCTCCAAAAGCAACGGCGCTGACCTATTCATTCAGCGTTCTAAACATAACGTCATACCGCAAATGTTACAATTTAACAGTTGAGCGTTTTAAACAATGCTCCGTCTGCGAGTGTCACAATGTATCAATTAAACGTTCTAACCACAACACCGCGCATTCCGCGAATGTTCCAACGAAACAATTGCGCGTTCCAAAGAATTCCATTGAGCAGATCCCGCTGGAGGAACGGATTTAAAATTCCACCGGCGCAGGATTACGGAAAGAACCGGAACCGGAGACCACCCCTCCTCCGTGACTTCAGCCCGTCCCGCAATTGGCCTGAAACAAGGAAGCGCGCGGGGAACTGTATAGATGACGCGCGCGAGCAGCAGGCGGACAGTTTTATGCGTTCCTCCTGGCACATTTACAGTCGTGTCGTTCACTGTGACGGATGAAACCGAGCGATCCGGTGAGCACGGCGTCTGATGATGTCACGGCCGGTGCAGCGGCAAGTGCACAACCCATCAACGCGAGGCATTAAATCAGACAGTTCCAGGTCATAAATAGGTCAAGGGCATCGCGTTGAACGCTCTCCGGGACCGCGGTTGAGAGTTTTGTCGCTGTGGAATCGGTGCATATAGAGGCGTGTTTGGGAAGCCATGGCGGGTTATTATGGTATGGAGGGGGAGGATCCGTGACGCGCTTCCCTGTACAGTAATGCTTCTAATGTGACCAGAGGGACACACACACACACGCGCACACTGCACACACAACCTTCTATACATATGCGTAGCTACTTCCCACATGCAAACAATATCCAGCTTCACAGTAGCTACAATGTTTAAGCTTTTTTTAAAATCTAAAACAATTAGGCTAAGTATCGCCTATTTTTATTTATCTGTGCTTTTGCAGACATCCACATATTTTGCATCGCACTATATGAATATGAATGACTTTTGGAAGTCAATTTAATAGGCTTTATATAATTTCTTCGCTTGTATTTTCACATAGGCTGCTGAAATGTGTAGCCCAGGTGTGTGTGTGTGTGTGACTGTGTGTGTCAGCTCAGCTCTGACCGCTGTTGACCACTAGAGAGCAGCACAGATTAATATACGAGCCCTGATGAAACACATGAACAGGTCACTACCTTTTAAAACAGCCTGAGAGAAGAGAAAGCGATGATTTGAGATGTTTTTCCTGACTGTAAGATGACAGAACTCTTACACGCTTTGTCCAGTAGAGGGCGCGATCCACCAATAAACTTGTTATTTGCTTATTTGTCGAGTCAACACGCTTATTTGATTTCATCAAAGTCCCAAAGTCAAGATCAGGGTCTTAAACTATAATTTATTAGCTGGGATTATTTTATTATGACAGTTACACTGATCGCTTACTGGAGATTTTAGGGAACTAAATTCATAATCATGTCATTGACACGTTGAGGACATTTTCCATTTGAAATAAGCTTCGTCCAATTTCTGAAATTTAACCCACACCTTTTCATTGTGACAGCAGAGTCTGTGTAAGTCTGAGTTTATTTGGAATTGAAATAATATGGGGAAGAGAAACTGACTATTGCTTAGATAGTTTCCATTCTTCCTTTTTTCCATTTCTGTTTTTAGTAACATGAATGAAATATGTGTAGGCTAAATATGCACAGACTTCCTTGAAATATTGTCTCGAGTTCTCACAAATCAAACTGGATACAACTAACAAAAAAAGAACCATTTCAATCAAAATAAAAAAGGTCAAAAACATTTGCAACCAAAGCCAAACAGAAAACTGGAGCATCTAATAATCCATAAATAAAGTCAGGAACGGGGACAGTGGGAATGTACTCTGAACACTGTGAAAGAAAGTGACAGCCACAGATATGCAGGACAGGAGAAGTATGATAACACAAAAATACGATGTACAGAAACAAATGTAGCATTTGGCCGCAGTGACGTCATTCTCAGGGGATTATTGATACAGTCACACTCATGAGATCATTATTCATAGATGTAGATGTGTTAGTAATCCATGTGGGGAAACTCTGAGACTATCTATCTATCTATCTATCTATCTATCTATCTATCTATCTATCTATCTATCTATCTATCTACCTATCTATCTATCTATCTATCTATCTATCTATCTATCTATCTATCTATCTATCTATCCATCCATCCATCCACCCATCTATTTATATAAATATCTATCTTCTATCTATCTATATATTTATCTATCCATGTATATATACATCCATCCATTCATATATCTATCTATCTATGTATCTATCTATGTATCTATCTATCTATCTATCTATCTATCTATCTATCTATCTATCTATCTATCTATCTATCTATCTATCTATCTATCTATCTATCTATCTATCTATCTATCTATCTATCTATCTATCTATCTATCCATCATCCAATGCACTCTCAGTCTGATGTGTCTGGATGTGTTCCCTCAGGGATGTGAGAGTGCCGCCATGATACTGTTGTTAGACTCATCCAGACGTTGCATAAACACAAACATCAGATTTATTAAAAGTGCTTAGTACAGTGTGATTACTCCTACAGATACAAACATCTGACTAGCACTCCCTCCTCTGGGTAAATTTATCATTGCATCATTGTAGGCAACTTTTACTGTAACTGCATGCTGATGGACAGTATAAAGTGGTGTACAGTAAGCTTTGAACAGACCTGTTTGTGAGTCACTCGATCAGATGCTTTGGAGGCATCAATAAGACACATGAAAATAGTGACATTTTTTAGCCTATACAAATTCACTATTTCCTTAAGAGCATAAATACACATGTCTGGTTTGGCTTAAGTCCAAGGGAAGAGATAGCCTATACCCACTCACTCTATCAAGGATTTTTCCCCATTACCTTGGATAAGATACTGGCCAATGCTATAGGTCTATAATTATCCAGGCAACTTTTCCAGCTTTGCCCTTGTAGGGGTGAAAACAAGTGTCTCGTCCACTGTGGGAGATGCGGATGCTTTGATTGTGACGCATACAAAGTGCCATGAATAGATCCAGAGAGGCGTGCTGATGTTCCAAACAAATAACTGAAGTGTATTAAATCAAAAATAAAGATGCATTGTAACATAAACAAACAAAACAAACAACTTTTAGGCCGGTTTGTTGCTTCATGTGCACGGTCAAAAGACTGTGTGCAGCAGCGCCCCCATCCTGTCAGGGGTGGCTTATACAACTTTATACAACTCACCTATAGAGGACACACACTCAGAGAAATAAACACAATTAACAATACACAATAAACTGTATTTAAAATTAAATAAGGTAGGATGTATGGCTCCTACAGAATTTGGTAACTTCTGAAATGTTGCTCTCGGGCTCCCCCTACAGCTGGGAAACAGTATTGTCTTGTACTCCTGTCGTAAAATCTGTCACCAGGGGATACACACATATCGATACCATTTTAATTATGTCTTGAGACCACATCAGGCTATGGCAGACCTGTCATTCAACCTATTGTAAAGCGATGTACCATCTCAAGGGTTTTGGACAAATATTATAAAGGTTGGAAAAAGTGCTGCTTTAATAACTAGGACAAGCAGAATAGATAACATTGAATCTATGCCATGGATCAACAAACCAGTAAAGTTGATTGCTAGGAGGGAAGCAAGCCTAAGACTGGCATTTTTCAGATGCTCTGCTGTTATAAAAACAATGCCATGCTTTGTTATTAGGTCATTTTCATATGGCATCAAATACCTCAAGTGTCCGAATACTATAGAGTCATAGCAAAGTCCTCCACATGTGGATCATGTTTTAATCAATTAAAGGAGTAGTTCACTTTTTAAAAAAAACTTTTGCTGATAATTTACTCACCCCCATGTCATCCAGCATGTCTTTCTTTCTTCAGTCGAAAAGAAATGAAGGTTTTTGATGAAAACATTCCAGGATTTTCTCCATATAATGGACTTCAATGGGGACCAAACGGTTCAAGGTCCAAATGAGAGTTTCAGTGCAGCTTCAAAGGGCTTTAAACGACACCAGACGTTGAATAAGGGTCTTATCTTATTTCGTGAACCAAATTACTTGAAAAAGGAATTGTTCATTTTGATGAACAATTTCGAACAGGAGAGTAGCGAACGCACATCACAAAACGTATAAAACGTAAACTTTTTAAAAAATTTTTTTAAATGACTGCCTGTTTCGCTAGATAAGACCCTTATTTATCATCTGGTGTCGTTTAAAGCCCTTTGAAGCCGCACTGAAACTCTCATTCGGACCTTGAACCGTTTGGACCCCATTGAAGTCCATTATATGGAGAAAATCCTGGAATGTTTTCATCAAAAAACTTCATTTCTTTTCGACTAAAAAAGAAAGACATGGACATCTTGGATGACATGGGGGTGAGTAAATTATCAGCAAAAGTGTTTTTAAAAGTGAACTACTCCTTTAAAGAGGGATCTATAGTGCTGTCTCCATGTTTCAGCAACATCATCGTCCAGTATAAGGAAGGGAAGGGCTGGGTGACAATATAGTTATGCAACAAAATAAAAAAACAATGAGCAGTTGAGATTTTAATTCCAATAATACAGTTTACATTTATAAATGACTAAGCAATCAACATCCAGAACAATCTAGTAGCCCAACAACAACAACATAGCAACACCTTGGCAACGGCGTCAGTGTGTTTTGCACAGTTCTGTTCCACTGTTCATACTCTGGCTAGTAATATTATGAGCTGTCTGAAATTTAAGACATCTTTTCCTGTGACGTCTCCGTCTCTGTGGAATCGAAATCGAGTGTGAGACTGGAGCAAAGGTGAGGAGGTCAGGAGGCCTGCTTATTCCCTATGGATTTACATTCTTTTAATAGAGATAGAGACTGAAGGATAGATGGGGGTCTTCAGGAAGAAGTGGGTGGAGGAATGAGACATTATGAACTGAGAGAGAGGTTTTATTTTCAGTATTGTGACTGACCCCGTAGGCGAGCGAATTAAGCGTCATCAAAGATACAATCAGTCTGTGAATAATCTGAGAACTTAACATATAGAAACCACAAGAAACCAGTAATGTTTCCCGTAGGAGTCCGTCTGTTTGGGTTAGGGCATGCTGTCACATGGCGAAGAAGTCACAAGGGCTTTATGTACCAATGTTTTGACTGAAAAACCAAGTTGCACAAATATTTGAATGAATGAAAAGTTTTTATTTCGAACATAAAAACAAAAAAACTATTTTTGTCCGAAAAGAAGTAGGAAGAAGCATAAGCTTATTCAATTCTACCCCATCTTCAACTAATTATAACCAATTAACCGGTTGACCGAACATTTTAAACCGTGGGCATATTTAAATATAGGCCTAGTACCGCTCAAAAGTTTGAAATAATTAAGAATTCAATTTGTTTATGGAAAAAAGTCTCTTCTGCTCACCAAAGGCTGCATTTATTTGATCAAAACACTGTAAAAACAGTAATATTGTGATATATTGTTACCATTAAACTATTTTATTCCTGTGATCAAAGCAGCATCACTCCAGTCTTCAGTGTCACATGATCCTTCAGAAATCACTCTAATATGAGGATCTGATGCCCACTTATTATCAGAATATTTCACAATATTAATGTTCTCACTAGGTGAGAAGGCTGCCTTAAAAAAAAAATCTAAAATCTTAATTGTTCCCAACTTATATCTTATGTTTAATTGATTGATAATAATT